AGGAATCTTTGGGTCAAAGGGCTTTTATGACACTGCGTGTGCACAGAGGGACGAGTGCACTGACACATTTCTGTTTGAAGCATGTCTGCACACTTAGGTGGTGTGCTCAGCTCCTGCCCCCTACTCTGTGTTGGGACACCCTTTGCATCCCTTGATGATCACTTTGCACTGATATTGTAGAAAACACAATTAATCACAAGATAGAAACAGTGATACTCAGAAAATACTGGAAACTGGTGAAAATTTGCTCATAATATGCTTATCCACTTGGCCAGCAGAAACAGTGTCCTGGGGACACAGACCCCCTCTGAAAATTCAAGCATTCACAAAGTTATAGCATCTGACAAAGTAAGCTGTTGCCTACAAAAGCTCATGCCTCTGTGAACCGATTAGTTACTAAGAAGCCACCCTGCCCTGCCTTTTGCTTCAGAAAGTTACAACCTGTTTGCAGACAATGCAACGAGAATGAAATTCACCCGGTATAGAGGCCACTTGCACCTACGTTGAACTCCAACTAGAGTTAAGCAGTGAAGAGTTCCTATGTAGGTCTTGTACGCACACGTGAATTTCAGCCTAGCATAATAAGTGAAATCAGCTGCACAAATTACAGACCATCTCCCCAACATACACAATCTAACATGAACATTCAAAGGCTCTGAATTTTCAAGTCAATACAGATGTGTATTGACTTGAAAGCAATGTATGCACTGAATATGGTGCATTTATTTAACCAATTTCCTCCATGTATTTATCCAGAAGTAGTTCTTTGGGTTTCAGTAGCACAATTTTCAAAGAGGCCATGCAATCTAATTCCCATGTGTGTTTCCTCCTCCAAGAGTTTCAGTTTGGGATTGATAGAGCAAGGCAGATGTTCTGAAACACAGGAACACTATGCTTATTTGAAAGGGACATGAGTCAGGAACTTAAGGGTTCTTCTGGTTCATGTTGGACTGACTAACACTGAGCAACCTGGGAAGCTGGCAACACCTGAAAGGTGCAGGCAAAGAACTACCATGACCCACTGCCAGCCTGCATTCAAGATCCCAAGTAGGAGCGGGGAGAGATTCTGAGGGAGCACACCCCGAGGTGCAAGCTCTGATCTTTGATCCCAAAATTACAATATATAGCATTTAATAGTGGGTTAATTAATAGGGTTAATTCAGGGCCCTCCAACTTCTAGGTGGCAGGGGGCCACATGCCACATGCTGTGGGCACTTTCCCACAAGTCCCACCCGGTACCAGGAACAGGGCGCAAGAAGCAGGAGCCAGAGGTGGCAGGGGAGCCTGGAGACACCAGATGCTGCAGCAGCAGGAGAAATGGGAGGAGCAGTGGCCAGGTGGGAGGCCATAGACTATGTATTAACTCTTTGTGGGCTGCAAGCACCCCGCAGACTGCCAGCTGAACAGCCCTGGGTTAACTGATCCTCCCAAACTGGCAGACAAAGGACAAGCTGTTGCTGCTTTAAAAAGAAACAGATAGGAAGGTCAAAAGACTTAGAGGGGCACAGAGTCCATGTTACATGGTAAACTTGCTTCTTGCTGTGCTGAGATGCTCCATACCCCAAACCAGCCTCAGTGAGCTGCATCTGCATAGTGCCACAGGTAGGCTAATTAGCCCTGGGAGGCAGTAGTGCTAGTTAGCCTGGCCACAACTATACTTTTAGTTACTGTGTAGAGATAGCCACAGAGCGCCAATGGCCTTGAATGCCATGACTGCAAAGACAATCAAGAACTCCTAAGATTCTGGAAAAAGTCCAGAGGATATGCCATATTCCTCAAAAGCCTGAGGCTAGGCCTGTACCAGAAAAGCATTGCTGGCATAGTTTAAATGACAAATCCTATGAGTGGAAACACAGCTTAAGCCAGTAGCATAACTAAGGAGGTGCAGGTGAATGAGATACTAACCCCAGGTAATGATATAGTGGGGCTGCCAGAATGGCAGGCAGCAGGCTGAACCCAAGCCCATGCCACAGCAGCAACAACCAGGGTGTGGTAAGTCATGCTCTTTGACTCTCCAGAGCCAGGTAAGACTCCCCGGGCCCCCTCCCTCTCATCCTTCTCTCTGTCATTTGACGCATGCTTTGTAACAAAAGCCCCCTCCCGATCGCAGCCCAGGGCACCAAATAGTTATGCCTCTGGCTTAAACTAACCAAATCAGTTTTTGCCAGTTCATACCATATCATACCTCCTTAAGCAAAATAAAAATACTCTGACAAAAAGCATCCTTCTGCTGGTGCAACTGTAGCTTCTGTCATAACAGTAATGCCTACAAAAATAGGCAGCACACCCACGCACAGCCCCATACCGATGCGGCGCTACCAGGAAAGATTCTAGAGCAGGGGTTCCCAAAGTTTTTATGCCATGGCCTAGCAAACCGTGGCCCAGCAGTCACAGCTGACCACAGCCAGAATTTCCAGCTGGAAGACAGGTGAGGATACCCGCCCCTCCCAGGCAGGAGCTGGGCTAAACCCTGCACTGCTGCAGGCCCTGCACAAGGAGCTGCGGCTTCTGCACCCGGCTCTGGTGGGGCTGCGGTTTGCCAATTCGCAGCCACTTCCGGCCTGGCAGCTGACTATGCTGCAAACTGGCAGCCGACCTGCCACGGCACCTGGCCACAGCCCGGGGATTGAGAACCCCTGTTCTAGAGTAATCCAAGACTCTAGATTCTAAGACATGAGCTAAGCACCTGAAAAATAAGCATCCAGGTTCCACCTGCCCCTTCCGTTTTGTTCCAAATAGCAAAGATTGGAAGTGATTTTATTGCAGTGTTTTGTCCTTTTGTTAAAGCCTCCTTTCCTGGCACCACACAACTGGGTAAGAGTCTCAATTTTCATTCAAAAGCAGAAAAAAAGTAAAAGTCAAACAGTTTCACTGAAAAGCTCACAAATGTGAATCCTAACTGCTCCAAACCCAAAAGACCATGAACCTCAAATTCATCTATTTTTTAAATCTCATGATTTTCATAACAACCTGATTTTTGAGGCTGTAATTGTGGGAGGGGTTTGGATACTTGGGACTTGCAATACTGGGGATGTTCCCTTTCAGCCTGTTCCTTAGTGGATTCAGACTGCTTCACAGAGCTTAGCTTGGCCTTGGTTTCACAAGACTCAACACAGTAAATCCATGTAATCAGGACAAATAGCTACCAGCAAACCCCAGCAGGGGAGGCTATCTACAGGCCTTATCTAGCCTTTCTCACTGCTTTTTCAATGCATTCTCTACAAGACAGAAGAATGCTCTTATCCCCATTTTACCATTAGGGCACAGAGAAATTGAGTGACTCACAGGAAGTTGTGACAGAACAGAGAACTGTAGTGAAGTTTCCCCTTGGCCCAGTCTAGTCAGACTTGTAGACCTGTCTTTCCTCCACAAAGTGCACGCACACGCTCATGCACGGACACACTTTTCCACATTGCTCTTTGGTGATAGTGAGGCTTGTTTTTATGCAAGGTTATATAGGTATTCATTAATTACTTTAAGGAGATTATTGTGCAACAATGCAGCAATATAGTGAGCTAGAGGCTAAGCCAGATATAAAACCACATATATAAAAAGTAATATTACAAACATGTACAGTTGGCCTAAAACTCTACCCTGAGGAGGTGACACTGAAGACCATGTCAAAAGTTATTTTGATCTGGTGCCAGATGAAAGTCACAAGAAAGGGAGATCCAAGAACTAGAAGGAAGAGTTATAAAACACAGCTGGCTCTGATTTGACAGATAGGCTTCCATAAAATTTCAAGAAAAAGAATGGGTTTTCTTTTTTTCCCTAGGAAGGGGTTCATGAATGTGATCTGAAGGCACACCAATGCTTTTAAATACACCATAGGCGTAAGATATGATTTTATGGTTATATATGGTTTTATATTATATTTTACATTACCTTATGGTTAGGCTGCCATAAGTTGATCTGAGGTTTAAGTTTCAACAGGGATATTTATTTTTCATAAAACTGGTTAAAATAAAAAGAGTTTGGAATTAATTCAATGGTGTGAAATGCAAAAGAAAAATGTCTTCACCATTGTAAATAGGAAAGAAAGTGGTAGTCACTAACATCTAGGGTCATGTCAGAGTCAATGTTCTGGTTGGGAATTTCATTATGTTCTTTTTTTAACCTCTAAGAAAATACAAAAAGTGTTTTTCTTACCAAAAAAATGTTTTCAGGAAGTAAATACAGTATGGACATATTTTTCAGATTACCACAGAGAAATGGAGAACTGTATCGTGTTTCTGGTTTAGATAAAAAGCCCATGTTAGACTCCCCCTCCCTCCCCCCATTAGAATGTTCAGTATAAACGAAGAAAGAAAGAAAGACTTCTGAATTTTATAAACATTTATTAGGGGAAAAGGGGGTAACAATATAATGAAGGACGGCCCACACAGGGGCCCAGGTACAGAACACAGAGCCTGGGGCTCACCCTCATGGTCTGCCCTCAGTTTAAAACAAAAACACCTAGTACCAAATCAATCCACTAGGCCCCTTGCTCGTACCCCGGCGGTGGGGGGGCGGCAGTGTCACAGCGTGAGGACCAGACAGCAACCCTTGATGCTGCAGAGCACTCCCTGAATGACTCAACGTGCCTGGAAGGTGGTCACTGTCTGCTGGAGAACTGCATGCTCAAACTCCAGAGACAGGCATGCCTGGACCAAAATCTAGAAGAACTGCAGGGAATCCCCTGAGCTGGCCCAAGTGACCCAGTTCCTGCAGCTCTTGAGGGTGGCCATCTTAGCCTGGACAAGTAAGAAGTTGACTAGGCAGTTGACACCCCAATTGGCCGCCTGGTATGGGAAGAAGAACAAGTATGTGGCCTCCGAGAGTGCCAATTCTAGAGCCTCAAGCAAAGCGCTGGGCAGTCTTCTCTGCCTGGGGCATCTGAGGAAGGCGTGGGTACAGCCAGGGGCATCTGAGGAAGGCGTGGGTACAGCCAGGGGCATCTGAGGAAGGCGTGGTGAAGATGCTCCACCACTCCCCCTGGACGAAAGGGGCAGGCCACTGATGCACCTGGGTCCATGTGGCAGATGAGAGTGCCAGTAGCCAGAATCCCATGTAGCAACCGCCATTGGAGGTCACCATGTTATTTAGCAATGGGGCTTATAGAGTGTACATGATGTGGGGCAGGCTGGTGTGAGTGCCAGTGCCACTACATGCCTCCACCACATCATGTTGAGTCGAGTGCTAAGGTGTGGCAGACTCGAATCACCCACAGATACAGGGCTTTCTGGGGGAGCGCGTTGAAGCAGATCCTGGTACTGATGTCAGGAGGCATGGGAAGAACCAGTAAAGTGCCAGGCCCACCACCCAGATTACTGTCCACAACCAGGACAACAGGCAGCAACAGAAAGGTCTCGCCCAGGACATCCACAGCACAGAGGGCTTTCTGTGCCTGGAGGCAGTCTTCCAGGTCAGCCCAGAGGGGCGCAGAGAGACAGGGCTCAGAGAGCCCAGCACCATAGGTGTGCAGTTGACAGGGGCCAGGGGCCCAGCAGCAAGAAAGGAGGAAGCTGAGCTAGTGCCTCAAGGTAGGTCCAACACAATGGGCCTAGGCTAGAAGGCCTAGTTGCATTAAAGGGGCAGTGGCTGAATAGGCCGAGGACCCAGCGGAGGGGACAACAGTTGTGTGGACATCTGAGGCATGGGGCATGGTATAGGGTTGGTATGAAGGCATGCAGTTAGCCCTTAAGGCAGGAGCTCCTCACTTCCAGCTGCTCTGGAGTGAAGACCTGACCTGGGAAGCCCTGGGGCAGCCTCCCCTTTGAGAACCAAAAGAAACATCAAGCCATGGCAGGAAAGCAAAGGGGAAACTTCCCAAAAATGGATTGAAATAAAGGGGATTCTGGGGTGTCTCCAGGGGTTCTAGACTGCCCTGGGGATGTCTCCTTGTTACAGCAGCCAGAGCTTCGGCTGACAACCAATCTGACCAGGCTGTGTCAAAGAGGTGTCCGAGCCGGATAGTATGTGACCGGATGAGGGAGTCAACAAGGCTACTAGAAGCAAGGCTTGGTAACCCATGTTCTAGGGTCAGGTTATAGCAAGGGGCTCCTGCAGTAACTGCAGATGCCTGGCCTGGGGCAGGAGGCAGAAGGCAGCCTGCCAGGATTGTGCCAGACTTTGGTAGAAGGGTAGGAGGATAGCTCAGTCCAGGAGGGTAGGATCCATAAAGAAAAGCTCCAAGTCATAACTGAGCCCCTTTCCCCAACCTGGCCCAAAAGCACATGAGCTAGCTGCTGCCAAGGGAAGGGGCTCTCGCAGTAGAGGAGCTTTTGGAGGGCCTGCAGGCAGAAGGCAGCAACCCTGCCCACTAGGTCAACTAAGCCCTGGCCCACTTTAGCCACCAGCAAATAAAGAATGGTTCAGGGGAGCCAATGATGCCCATCCCAAAATAAGTCTATGAGAAGTCACTGGAGCTTCTCAAGCAGGTCCAGCAAGGGGTCCAACACGGTGCACCAATGTCACAACATTGCAGCTGCCAGGTTATTGACAATGAGGACCTGGTCATGGTAGGAGAGGCTGGGCAGATGCCAGTGCCATCGCTGCAGGTGCACCTCTACCTTGACACCAAGGTCCTCCCAGTTCCATGCAGAGAAGACCAACAGCCTGAGGAACACCCCCAGGGTTTTGAGGACTCCTGATGTCAGGTAAGACCCCTGGGGAGGAGAGAGGGGATGACCCAAGGGCTAAGAAGGAGGGTGTCACTCTTGGTCCTGTTTACTTGAGCTTACTCCTATGTATGAGGAACCTTCTTGTGTTACTTACTTTGTTGAGCACCTTATTGAGTTCCTTGACCAGAGTAAGAATCAACGGAGAGTTGCACAGTAGGGCTATGTGAAATGTTGCTGGCTGTTTCATTTTGACACTATTTCAACTTGTTTCGAGCTCGAAACAGTGAAAACAAAATGAAAAAAAGGGCTTTGAAACAGCCTTGAAATGAAACCAGGGTAGTTTCACATTTCAAAGCAGAAGCCGGGCTTGCTTGCAGGGAAACAGAAAGTAAGGAGAGGGTAGGGGAAGAGTGAGGAAGGACTGCTCTGATATTTTTTTTTTTTTTTTTATAGATTTCATAGACATCAGGGCTGGAAGGGACCTCGGAAGATCATCGAGTCCAGCCCCCTGCCCAAAGGGCAGGAAGTCAGCTGGGGTCATAGGATCCCAGCAAGATAAGCATCCAGTTTCATCTTGAAGGTGTTCAATGAAGGCGCTTGAACCACCTCCGGTGGCAGGCT